GCAGAGTGTATGAAAGACATTTCCCAAAACTAGATTTTCTCCCAATAACGCCATGTCTAATTTCACATGCCACTGTGCGTCTTTCAGGATATAAATGGCCAACGGATATTGATCTGCACACTCGCTGCTGGGCTGAAATGAAATGAAAGTCATGATATAAATGATCTGCTGTTCACAGGGACTATAAATTCATGCTCTGACTTTGGCTAAAAAATGAAGACACCCTTGTGTTTTGGCTTCAGAGTGCAGCCAAAGAACAGCTCAGCTAACAGTGTCGCTCGGCCGTGTCGTAAGCTTCAGCTGCCTGCTCACATGCCACAGCATACTCTTTCTTTGGTGGTGACACTCTAATCTCCTTCCTCCAGGTTTAAAGGCAGCTTGCTGAGTGTTTGCCCCATGACAGGAACTACGACTATGTTCTGACAAGCTGGTCCCTGCATTGGACACGCAGCCACATCGGTGCACCTACTGCACATAGCTACAGGGCCGCAACTAACGATTATTACTAATTATCAATCAATATATCGATTATTCCCTTGATTAACCGATCGGTTGTTTGGTCCGTAAAATGGCAGGAAATTGTAAAATATGTTGATCGCTGTTTCCCAAAGCNNNNTCCTCAATGTCCACTAACCTAAGGTATTCAGTTTAGTGTCACAGTGGACTAAAGAAAATATTCACACTTGTTTTTTCTAAAACATTAATGCTTAATCGATTGTCAACATTGTTGGCGATTAATTAAATAGTTTGATTAACTGACTAATCCTTGCAGCTCTAACAAACACATTAACAGTTGATGGCAGTAGAAGAGAAGACCCCAGCGTCTGTACAATGCAGATAAAGACATTAAAAAAAGGCTTGGAAAATATTGTGAGGTAGTAAATGCATTCAATGTGTCTGTTACACCTTGAGGGTACAAACAAGATTGTTTTTGGTAAGAAAACACTGAATGTGAAGAAATATATTGATAATAAATCCCTATAGGCGAGCACCTTGGTCAGCTGTAATCTGACTGGACGTGTCTTTTTGTTTGGGTTAGCATGTCGCTCCAAGCCTCATTAACCTGGGTTAGTGTTTGTGATTTGTTAGCAGTACTGTAGCACCTGGGGAAAACACACACATCTTGAATAAGACTGATATCATTCAACTGGATGGCAGCTCAGTCCCATTTCATGATTTCTGATGAATGTGTGGGACGTGCAGGCGCCACAAAAGTGACGTCACTGTTTGGCCAAATCAGCAGGAAGCCGTCCGTGGGAGGTTACATGGCGAGCTCATCCGACAGAAACGGTCACTTTGAAACAGACTGCTCCTCCATGCCAGCCTGTGTCATGAGCTCCGCCACGTTCTTCTCAAGGTCATCAATGCGGGTTCCCATCGCGTCTAGTGCCAGAGTGAAGGATCTGCCAGAACACGTAAACCTGGTACCAGTTGTTGGACCAGCAACACAATAAAACACGACACAGCAACCAATAATGACTAACGTTACATTAATGGCTGACTACCACATTCATGCTTACATATGTGATTTAACAAATTAGAGCTAGATAGCAGGCAAACAAGCTTAGTTCGCCGGTATGTACACACAGAGTGGAGTCATGGTGTCCCCATTTGCTGGTGTTGTTATCGCAGCCTTCTCTGTGGTTTGTTTACAGAGCTGGTTGTGCTCCGTGTGCAGCTGTAGAGGCTGTAAACCGCTGTGTAGTCTATCTACGTTCGCTGAATTAAGTTTATTTTGTCCAAAACCAGAGTTTGTAACTGTTGGAAGAGTGGAAAGCCTGACAAAGACCGTTTGAACGCCCCCCAGTGGCCGTGCATGTTACTACAGGTGTGTGTTTGACAGGCAGGACCAGTGTTTGATTACAAAGTGCTCTCAGGTGTGTTTTTAGCTCACACAACCACAGACTGAACAGCGAATTTAATCCAAACAGAACATAAAGCTGCGGCGTTTCTGAGCTACGCCTTAAACGCCTAAAAGCGAAGTTAGTAGCTGTAGTTTGGGTGTAAACTGTTACAGTAAATAAAAGGATATGTTTGGACTCCAGCTGTTCAGAGACTGCCTGGAATCTGCCTTGAAGTCGCTGCATCGTTTTCTCCATCTAAAAGGCAAAGAAAGCCGTCAGGAAAAGTATTTTCTAAAACACATAGCTCACACCAGACTAACTTACCGCCTCTGTCATGTCTGCAGCTGCTTTGCTGTCTGTTTTTGACATCGTCTCTTCAACAAAACACAAATACTGACAGGAAGTGTAAACGTACAGCCATTCAGCCTGACTGTGGGGGTTTGTTTGGTTACCGACGATAGAAATCCCCTCTCAGCTTCCCCTCACACACCTTAGCTGTGTGACTCTCACAGAACTTTGCGGTAAAGTGAGTCGACAGAGCGAGAAGAATGCGACTTCCGCTTGCAGTGGTTGTCATTTCAAAATAAAGGTCACTTTCGCAAAAAGCATCTGGTTCAGTGAAGTCTCAAAGAGAGAACAAAGAAGAATATTCTGTGCTGAGGTAATGGACAGCTGTTTTATTTAATATTTAATATATGATATTATTAAGTTATTTGATTAATTAATATTCAGTTACAAATCTATTACAGACAAAAGTCTAAATTGTATCAACTCATAACATCACATTTAAGCTGATTTGTGTCAGTTCAAGAATGTGATTAATTATATTTAGTTACTACAAAAAAAAGCTTTACTTGTAGGTCTTGGTGATAGTTAATATAATGTATTATCAAATTATTGTGAAGGTAATTTTGCCCCATTTTCCGGTCTTGCGCTGACTCTCTTTGACTAGCTTGACTTTACC